ATGCATGTATATATACACACACACACACACACATATGCATGTATATATACACACACACACACACGCATATGCATGTATATATACACACACACACACGCATATGCATGTATATATACACATACACATGCACATATGCATATATATATATACACACATACACACACATATGCATGTATATACACACACACACATGCACACACACACACACATGTACACACACACACACATATGCATGTATATATACACACACACACACACGCATATGCAAGTATATATACACACACACACACACATGCATGTATATATACACACACACACACACATGCACACACATATGCATGTATATATACACACACACACACACATACACACACATATGCATGTATATATACACACACACACACATGCATGTATATATACACACACACACGCATATGCATGTATATATACACACACACACACACACGCATATGCAAGTATATATACACACACACACACACACATGCATGTATATATACACACACACACACATGCATGTATATATACACACACACACGCATATGCATGTATATATACACACACACACACACACACATATGCATGTATATATACACACACACACACACACGCATATGCAAGTATATATACACACACACACACACATGCATGTATATATACACACACACACACACATGCACACACATATGCATGTATATATACACACACACACACACATACACACACATATGCATGTATATATACACACACACACACATGCATGTATATATACTTGTATATAACTTGCAGAAGTTAAATGAAGCTGTAACGTCGACCACCTTCAGCATCACTGAGGAGAGGTGGATGCTTTGTTTACACCAGATGATGTTACATAAGTCAGATAGTTACCATGGAAACACCAAGACCTTCTCCCCACCCCACCCTTTAGGAGCACACACACGCGCACATGCACACATACACACACACATGCACACACGAGCACGCACATGCACCTGTGCGCACACACACATGCGCACATACACACACACACACACACACACACACACACACACACACACACACACACACACACACACACACACACACAGAGTTCAGGACAGTCTCTGGAAAGCTCCGAGCTGCTCGCTCCGTTAGCTCTTCATTTCTACACTCTTATTTAAACCTGCTGAAGTCACCAGAACACAAAGCATTTTGGGTATTTTTAGCTTTTAATCTCTAAATAAAAAGTTTGTTCCTGGAAGGTTTTCATACTTCCTCTCATTTGATCCCTGTGAGCATCTGCAGCATTCCCAGCAGTTCCTACTCAACTCCACATGGTCCGGGTTTTCTCCTGTACAACTCAGGAACAGCTTCAGTGGAAGTCCAGATCTACAGGAAACGCTCCGCTGGAGCTCGGAACATTACACACCCAACTCTCCTCACACTGGAATACATACTCAAGCATCATCAGTGTATAACGGGATAAAATGTTCCCAAAAGCAGATTCCTCTGATTCTTATCCAGCTCTGGACAGAACTACAAGCTGGGATCCAGAAAGGAGGTCAGACTGGAATTCTGTCGTAGGAGAAACTTCCAGGAGAACGCTGGTTTCAACATTTCCAGTGATGCAACCCAGAGGAACAAAGTCCCACCTGATGGGAATGCCAGCATTTTCTAATGAGGGAAAATTCTCAGAGTTCCTCTGAAATTTGTCGAGTTTCTGTGACTGAAGTTTTCCTAAAGGCCGGATTTAAACTCAAGGCAGGGGGTGAGTTTTAAAAACCACTCTGGATCAAACACATGCTGGTGTTTGACAACCGTGATCAGCTGTGGCAGCCATCTTGAATCAGGCAGCCTTTGACCGGGTTTTATTCCCGCCTGAAGCAGGATGCAAGTTTCACAGCAGATCCAAGGACAACAGGAGGAAAACGCTGGAGCTTATTTTAGGTCATTTCCCTGGAAAAAACGGAATAATTTCAGGAGCCTCAGTTTGGTTTATGGTTAACTCGCAGAACCCTCGGCCGCTTTCCTGTCTTTGCAGGATGCTCCAGGATTCCAGCTCCCAAAGAAGAAGGATTCCGAATGTTGGGAATCTCCTACAATTATATTTATTCCTTCACTATTTGGTCCCAGGGAGTTCAAAGGAAAACCTTTAAGCGACTCACAGATTAGAACTTTTCACATTATTCATCAACGCCTAAAAATATTGAAGGAGCGTTGGGAAATGTCAGTTTTCCATTGGCGAAACAAAACCAGCTGGATCTCCATCCTGACAGGGATTGGGGATCGGGTTAGGAACTAAAGGATCTCGCATCCTGGGATGAAAGTGGACAGCATCATCCTACAGGAGTTTTCAGAGTCAAACTGTAGCTGAAGCCACCTGAAATGTTCCTGCACTCATCCCTAAAACAGCCCCCCCACCCCCCCAGATTTCCAGCTTCCGGAGGCTTTCCTCACTTCTCCTCATAGCTGATACCTGCTCGGATCTGAGGAATGAAGCTTCCAGCTGATCCGTCGCTTCAACCTCATTCATGTAACTTTAGGACCCGGTTCTAAGATCCATTCAGGCGGAATTACCCCCCCACCCCCCCGGTGAATTATACATGCCTCACATCTCCCATCCCACGCTGCATCTTATGTAACGTCAGCCACGCGTGGAGGAGCGTATGTTTGGATGTATTTTTATCCAGACTGGGATTGAGAGAGTGGTGACTCATCCTAGTTACTCTTTAGTTTTACTCCTCGACCCCCGACCCCTCGCTTCTCCTCACAGGAACAGGTAGATCCGTACAAGCAGAACAATCAGGCGGCTCCATCAGAAAAAGCCCGGTTGGCCCGTGTCCCTGCAGCAGTCAGAAGGAATCTGGATTTATCCCGAGTTACGCAACTTTACACCTTCCTGAAACACTACAATCCAGCATCCTGCAGGGTCAGAACCAGAACCACCATCACATCCCTGCTGCGTACAACTGAGCTGATCAGAACCAAACCACAAACCAGCAGTGACACCAAGCCCAGCTGGACCCTGAATAACGACCCGGATCACAGAGGCGGTCCAGCTAACGGGTCAAAGGTGCAAACTCGAAAACAGAATCTGAACCAGGACCAAGAGTTCTGTAGGACGGCCCAGATCCAGACAGCTGGACCAGACCGACACCTCATTGAGTCCTGAATGAACAAAACCATCAGAGACACAACTGAGACAAAATGAAGACACAACAAAAACATATCTGAGACTCAACTGAGACATGACAGAGACACAACCAAGACACGACTGAAACATGACCGAGACACATCTGAAACATGACTGAGACTCGACAGAAACACGACTGAGACACAACCGAGACACGACTGAGACACAACCGAGACACGTCTGAAACATGACTGAGACACGACAGAAACACAACTGAAACATGACAGAGACACGACAGAAACACAACTGAAACATGACAGAGACACGACAGAAACACAACTGAAACACAACAGAGACATGACTGAAACATGACTGAAACATGACAGAGACACGTCTGAAACATGACTGAGACACGACAGAAACACAACTGAAACACAACAGAGACATGACTGAAACATGACAGAGACACGTCTGAAACATGACAGAGACACAACTGGGACAAGGCAGAAACATGACTGAGACACAACTAAGACACGACTGAGACACAACCAAGACACGACTGAAACATGACCGAGACACATCTGAAACATGACTGAGACTCGACAGAAACACGACTGAGACACAACCGAGACACGACTGAGACACAACCGAGACACGTCTGAAACATGACTGAGACACGACAGAAACACAACTGAAACATGACAGACACGACAGAAACACAACTGAAACATGACAGAGACACGACAGAAACACAACTGAAACATGACAGAGACATGACTGAAACATGACAGAGACATGACTGAAACATGACTGAGACACGACAGAAACACAACTGAAACACAACAGAGACATGACTGAAACATGACAGAGACACGTCTGAAACATGACTGAGACACGACAGAAACACAACTGAAACACAACAGAGACATGACTGAAACATGACAGAGACACGTCTGAAACATGACTGAGACACGACAGAAACACAACAGAGACATGACTGAAACATGACAGAGACACGTCTGAAACATGACTGAGACACGACAGAAACACAACTGAAACACAACAGAGACATGACTGAAACATGACAGAGACACGTCTGAAACATGACTGAGACACGACAGAAACACAACTGAAACACAACAGAGACACGACTGAAACATGACTGAGACATGACTGAAACATGATCGCGACACGACCGAGACACAACAAAACCATGATCTGGTGCAGAATGTGCATAAAACCATAAAACATGGAGATTCTGAGTAAAAACAGTCTCACGGAATCACAACAAACTCAGAAAGCAAAGAAACACAAAACAAAAATGGACAAAAAACACTTACAAGTATTAAAAAAAGACAATAAGTTGAAAAACAACAAAATTCATCCAAACAGAAAAACACGATCCCCATGTCACACTAAACCACCACTGAGGAATAAATAAACAAAAACATGATGCAATCAAAGTTAATACAACGTAAAACGGGTCCTGAAATAAATAAATTTGGTGTTTTTCCTTCATGGGTTCATCTGCTGATTATAGATGCCCCCCCCCCCCCCCCCCAGTTACATAACTGTTCCTGTAGTTGAGATGGGTGTTAAGACTCCTGAAGCACAACAACAAACCTTTTCTCTGCGTGGATCCATTATTGATGAAGAGGAGGATGAAGATTGCTTGGATGGAGCGGTCGTCAGACGCTGAGCAGCTCCAGACGGTTATGTAACGGAGCAGCGGGAATACTGGAGGAGGAAACCCTCTGAGGAGCTTCAGCAGCTTCATGTGACCAGAGAACAGATCCCATCAGAAGTGGGCTGTAGACGTAGAGGTGGGACAGACAGATCAGTGCTTATTACAGGTAAACACACACACACACACACACACACACACACACACACACACACACACACACACACACACGGCTCTGCTCCAGGTCCTGTTTCATGACCCAGTTCGGTCTAAACTTCAGCACCAGACTGATGGCTCAGAACCAGCCCACAGTATCAGCCCTCCACCACCGTGCTGACAGCTGATTGTGTTGCTGCAGTGCATTCTGCGAATACCTGTTTCAGGTCTAAACCTTCAACAGGACCGAGCCCAGGAATCACGGCTGGATCAAAGCGGGAACGCCGTTGGTTTTAATTCTCAGGTGATTTAATTTAGTTCTGCAGCTTTTTCTGAACTTTGTTCTGAAGTTTCCAACATTTCTGGTTTTGAGATGAAATTAACTAACAGCTGATCATCATTTAACAGCTGATTCCGTCTCTCAAACAAAGGTGGTAGAGACAGAAAAAGGTCTTCCACAAGTCCAACCCTAAATTCTGATCCATATGTGGGATGAACTCCTTTTATCCCAGATAAATCCCTCAGAGGGAATCCCAGCCTGAACCAGTCTGTGTGATTGGGCTCCCCCTGCTGGACGCTACCGACATCACACCAAGATAAAACCCATAAATCTGCTTTTTACGATTTTTATATTTATTTATTTAAACTTTGTGTGTTTTTATTTGCTCACACGAACGTTTCTGATCAGAGCTTGTTTTAAACTTCGCACATCCTAAAACCCAAAGATATCAAAATAACATTCCTGATCTGAAGTTCAAAGGTTTCAGGAAGTTTGTAAAAAATAAAAAAAAGGTTTTAAAGGTTTTTAAATAAAAAGACTATTTCAAACTAAGAAAGCTCTCAACATCCCATAATATTATTACTTTTATTATCGGACTTCATGAAGGTTTCAGGTAGTTTATTGTTCTCGTGTTGTCCCTCGCACGCGACCACTGCAGCTCGGGACAGAATCATCACAACAAACGAAACATCCGTGAAATTCGACGAGGAAGAATCACCAGAAGAGGAGGTGTGGAGGACATGTCCACAGACCGGAGGACAGACCTCCAACCCCACAGAAACATCACTAATAACCGCCGGAGTCCCGGCGCTGGACTCACCTGCACTCCTCTGAACACCTGCCGGCTGATTATCGACGGAAACCAGGTGTGACTAGAGGAAAACCGGAAGAGGGTTTACCAAAATAAAACGGAAAGTTGCTCCAAAACACAAATAAACACAGAAAATTTTCATCTTCAGCACCAAGAGTCAGATAAACAGATTTTATTATTGATTCTAATATTTACCATAAAGATTTAAAGAATAATTTAATCTGATGTGAGTTTATTAAACTTGTGATGATGCTGCTGTTGTGTCCTTGGGCAAGACGCCCAACCCGCCCTGCCTCGGAAAGCCTCGCCTGTGTCAGCTGTGGCTGCAGCTCATCACCACCAGTGTGTGAATGGATGAATGATTCACTCCAGTGTAAAGCGCTTTGGAGTCCTCGGCTCATTAATCATTTATTTATTCCAGGCTTTTTAAATGGCCGGGGTCAAAGTTCAGCTCCAGAACAGCTGAGCAGGAGGTTCGGGTCTGCAGGAGGAGACTCCTCAAGGCCCGGAGTCGGTGACCCCCGCTTTTAACTCGATCCACGTTTTGTTTCTGTCAGGTTAGAGATTCATCCTCTCATCGGTCCCCTCCATCATTAGTTTGGCTAAAAGTGGGAAAAGCATCTGGACCCATTCCAGACTCGGAGTAATGGGAACCACCTGGTCCCATGTGGGTCTCCCGGTCTCGTCTGCAGCAAAGACCAGAACAGGATCCAGTTCCTGAGAAGACTTCTGACCCAGAGGACTCTAATGAGGAGGCCCGGTCCACTTCGGGAGCCCAGCTCTGTCTGGTTCTGGAGGCCCAGTCTTGCTGAGGTCTTGGGTCGGTTCTGTTCATCTCATCCGTTTTTTTTTTTTTTGACTTAAGGTCAGAACCGGTTCCTTGCTGCCCGTCCCAAATCAGAACCTGTAAAAGAACAAAGGACCCATTTGTCGTCCCTCGGAGCGTGAACACATCCCATCCTGACTCGGATTTATTGTGCCGCTCCATGTGGGAATACGAGGATCCAGGAGGACCCATCTCAGACTGAGATCACAGCCCGGTCCAGACGGCCGGCGCTGCTCCTGATGGAGTCGACCCAGACTTAATGTACTGCTCTTATGAACAACGGGAGCCGAGTCAGGCGGCACAAAGGAGAGGTGGACAATACAGAGCGCTCCGGCGGGTCAAAGGCTCGGCCCGCTGCCCGTCATTGTTACCGGTGAGCACGCCGCCGCCGCCGCTCGCCTCAGCTCTCGAGTATTTCCTGAGCAGGAAGCAATAAGACAATAGCAGCGAGTGTCTCCATGTCCACATGAAGGGACCCAGCTCCAGGCCTGGGCTTGCTACGATAAGCTGCTCTGACAGAACCAGAACCAGACTTCACCAGCAACAATGGTCCTGCCGAACAAAACCGAGAGCTCCATCAGGTCAAAGGTCAGGACAGGACGCCCAGATCCAACTGACCTGGTCGTGTAGGAGGCTGCAGGTCCGGTGGACGTTTGTGTCTCTCAGAGTTATCCCAACATTTTAATCTGTAGTTGATCCCAGGAAACAGGATCGGAGCTTCTGTTACCGGGACGCTGGTGTTCTACAGCTTTATGGGATGTTAGAGGTCAGCTGGAGGACCCGCCCACTGATGATCAACCAGGCAGCAACCAGAGCTTCTTCTCCTTTAACCTAAAACCACAAAGCAGCACCAGACTGATGGGTCAGAACCTGGTCAGAACCAGCCCAAAGTACCAGCTCTCCACCACCACCTCCATGCCTCGTGCAGCCCGATTTCACCACAGGGTGTCCCGCCTGTATGTGACCGCCTTAGGACAGTCATGAAGGTTTGTTCCATCCATTCATCCTTCCATCCATCCATCCACCCATCCATCCATCCTTCCATCCATCCATCCATCCACCCATCCATCCATCCTTCCATCCATCCATCCATCCACCCATCCATCCATCTTTCCATCCACCCATCCATCCACCCATCCACCCATCAATCCATCCTTCCATCCACCCATCCATCCTTCCATCCACCCATCCATCCATCCACCCACCCTTCCATCCATCCATCCATCCTTCCATCCACCCACCCTTCCATCCATCCATCTTTCCATCCATCCATCCATCTTTCCATCCATCCTTCCATCCATCCATCCATCTTTCCATCCATCCTTCCATCCATCCATCCATCTTTCCATCCATCCTTCCATCCATCCATCCATCTTTCCATCCATCCTTCCATCCATCCATCCATCCATCCATCTTTCCATCCATCCATCCATCCTTCCATCCATCTTTCCATCCATCCATCCATCCTTCCATCCATCCATCCACCCATCCATCCACCCATCCACCCATCAATCCATCTTTCCATCCATCCATCCACCCATCCATCCATCCACCCATCCATCCACCCATCCATCCACCCATCCATCCACCCATCCACCCATCAATCCATCTTTCCATCCATCCATCCACCCATCCATCCATCCACCCATCCTTCCATCCATCCTTCCACCCACCCATCCATCCATCCTTCCATCCATCCATCATTCCATCCATCCATCCTTCCACCCATCCATCCATCCATCCATCTTTCCATCCATCCTTCCATCCATCCATCCATCCATCCATCCACCCACCCTTCCATCCATCCATCCATCCATCCATCCACCCACCCATCCATCCATCCATCCATCCATCCATCCATCCATCCATCCATCCATCTTTCCATCCATCCATCCATCCTTCCATCCATCCATCCACCCATCCATCCATCCATCCACCCACCCTTACATCCATCCATCCATCCACCCACCCTTCCATCCATCCATCCTTCCATCCATCCATCCACCCATCCATCCATCCATCCATCCACCCACCCTTCCATCCATCCATCCATCCACCCACCCTTCCATCCATCCATCCATCCACCCACCCTTCCATCCATCCATCCATCCATCCATCCATCCATCCACCCACCCTTCCATCCATCCATCCATCCATCCACCCACCCTTCCATCCATCCGTCCATCCATCCATCCACCCATCCATCCGCCCATCCATCCATCCATCCACCCATCCATCCACCCTTCCATCCATCCATCCATCCATCCATCCATCCACCCACCCATCCATCCATCCACCCATCCATCCATCTTTCCATCCATCCATCCATCCACCCATCCATCCATCCGCCCATCCATCCATCCATCCACCCATCCACCCACCCACCCATCCATCCATCCGCCCATCCATCCATCCATCCATCCTTTAATGCATGAAGCACCTTTAAAAGACCTTGCTCCAGAACTCCTGGATTCTTTCCCATAATGCACTGCAGCATGTTAGGACAGCAGCATGAACTCATCCTGAATTTAAAAACAAACATGTACCACTCATAAAGAGCGATCATACATCTGCAGGTCAGAGGCAAAAATACAAGAATGTAAGGAAAACAGTTAATTATCCGCTAGTTGTTTGTGTTTATTTATTTGGCAGATGCGTTAATCCAAAGGGACGTATAATTGTAAGAGCGTGCTGTAATCTGTGGGGGAAACCGGAGTACCCGGAGGAAACCCACGCAACCCCACACAGACAGGCCGCAGCCAGGTTTTGAAGCTGCAACCTTCTTGCTGCGAGGCAGTGCTATCAACGGTGCCACCATGCAGATCTGTCTCCTCTTATTAAAACCGTCACCGTGCAGAGATTAGACAGATTATACTCCGGTGTTTGATTTTTCTCGCGTCTGGATCTCAGGATGACTGATGTCCCATCAGGAGCGTAAACACCCGTGTTCCTGCTGCTCTGTTCACCAGAGACCCTTCAGAACTCCCAGCGACATTCCCAGGCCTCTTATCAGCCGGGCTCAGCCCGTCTTCTGATTGGCCGAAGCTGCTTTCTGTTCTGCTAGAGAACAAAATAACAAAAAACGGGCCGATAACGAGACCTTTTGGGTTCTGATTAAATTCTTCAGAGGAAAGTTCACGTGGACCCAAAATGTCAAATCAGATAACAGAACCGAGTCGAAGGCACGAAAGACGACGTGTCCGAGGGCTTCATGGGATTATTTTTAGCTTTTTTCATTTTTTCTTTAGTAAAGAAAATGAGTTTTATTTCTGAGACAAACTCGGAAGTTCTCAGTTTAACCAGGAAGACGTTAGTTCTGCTTCTTCTGCAGGCGCAGATTAAAGTTCAGACATTTCTATCAGTCCTGTCAGAAAGGGACACTCATGTTTTATGCTGATTTATTAGAGTGAAATAATCCAGAGTGTTATTTCTTGTAATTATGGCTACAGATTAAAAAATAATCTGTAAATTATTAAATTAGATCAATAAAAATTATGTTTTAAACTAAAGTGTCAGGATTCAGAAAGTTTGTATCAATATTTGGTCCTAACCCAAACTGGTGGATTAATTCTAACCCATGATTATGGGTTAATCCCAATCCAGACTAGTGGGTTAATCCTAATCCAGACTGGTGGATTAATTCTAACCCATGATGATGGGTTAATCCCAATCCAGACTAGTGGGTTAATCCTAATCCAGACTGGTGGATTAATTCTAACCCATGATGATGGTTTAATCCCAATCCAGACTAGTGGGTTAATCCTAATCCAGACTGGTGGATTAATTCTAACCCATGATGATGGGTTAATCCCAATCCAGACTAGTGGGTTAATCCTAATCCAGACTGGTGGATTAATTCTAACCCATGATGATGGTTTAATCCCAATCCAGACTACTGGGTTAATCCTAATCCAGACTGGTGGGTTAATTCCAACCCATGATGATGGGTTAATCCTAATCAAGACTGGTGGATTAATTCTAAGCCATGATGATGGGTTAATCCCAATCCAGACTAGTGGGTTAATCCTAATCCAGGCTGGTGGGTTAATCCTAACCATTGATGGTGGGTTTATCCCAATCCAGACTAGTGGTTTAATCCTAATCCAGGCTAATGGGTTAATCCTAACATAGGTTGATGGGTTAATCCTAATCCAGGCTGATGGGTAAATCCAAACCAAGTTTTCCGTTGTAGAAAGTTGAATTTGAAAAATCTGGACATAAACAACTAAAACTAAACTTTTCAGTCCGTTTGAATAAAATTTACTGAGCTTATCTGATCTGAGGTTAAAGTCGGAGAGCACCTGTAGCAGCCCCACCTGCTGCTTTGGGCCCAGAACCTGCTCTGCTCCAGAGGAACCCAACAGCTGGTCTGAAAACGCTCTGATTGTGTAAAAGTTTTATTCCAGGGACTGCAGATCGTCTCCCGTCCAGAACAGGTTCACGAATAAGCAGCAGGTAGAAATATCAGAAGTTTGTTGGTATAAAATAAAAAACAAGATGTTTTACTGAGTTTAACATCCATTCATCTGAGATCCAGTCAGGGCCAGACTTCTGTCGGCATCATTCTGTGGTTCGAGTCCGGTCCAGTTTGGTCCCTGAAAGCATCCAAAGCCCCATTCCCACCTGTACCGGGTCGGCCCGGGCCGGGTAGCATAGGTTGTTTACATATCTGGGTGGCCTGGAATTTTCCCGGGCCAACCAAGGCTCATTCTCGGCCCTCTTCCCGAGGGGTACTGCTTCAGGCCGACCAGGGCCAACACGCCCACTGCTGACAGCAAATTCACACCTTCCATTAGAGCAAGCCTCTGATTGGTGGGTAGAATAAGCCCATTCACACCTTCCATTAGAGCAAGCCTCTGATTGGTGGGTAGAATCAGCCCACATGGGCTTAAGGCAAGGATGTGTGGAATCAACCGGGCCAGGCTGGGGCCGACTGGGGCTACCCGGCCCGGGCCGACCCGGTACAGGTGGGAATGGGGCTCAAGTGTGCACAGCAGCTCCAGAACGTCCTGGTCTGGGCTGGGTGAGGCGTTCAGGGACCTGCTGGTTCTCAGTGCAATACTGCCCCCGTGTGGGCGGAGCTGGTACTGGTGTTACATAAAGAAGAGCCGTATGCGCGCGCGCGCGCACGCACGCACACACTTACACACACACACACACACACACACACACACACACACACACACTTGTCATGGCACCTACAGCTCTGATTGGATGAGATTCAACCATCGTTTGTTGTGATGATAAATAAACAGGTTGGACTGCTGCATGTGGGGAGAAGGCAACCCTTCATCATCCTCCTCATCATCATCATCATCAGGCCGCTCCTCTGAGCTGAAACAAAGCAGATTAAATCTGATGTTTCATAAAACAAAAATACAAAAAGGTTTATAAATGAACCCGTGGAGACGAGAAGGATGCCTCACAGAAGCTGTTCTGAGTCCAAGAGTCTCGGTCCAGAAACCTGAACAGAACCAGAACCATCTTCATGCGGAGGGCATGGGGTTAGGGTTAGATCAACCCCAGATCAACATTCAGTCACAGAAGGTGCAGGACGGCAGGTCATCCATGTCTCCCGGGCCTGAACCTGGACCGGACCTGGCTCGGTCCAAAAGCTGGAGGGTGTGTGTGAGCCCGGTTGGATCAGAACATCCCTGATGTTTAAGAGGAGCAGCAGTCTTAACTCCTCCAGGAGGGAGAATGATCTGGTGATCTGGGAAGTTCTAGAAGAACCTGACCCGACCCGACCCACTGTGGTTCTGATCATGTCCTCATCAGGTCTCTTCTGCTCCAATGTTTGAAAAACAGATTTTTTTCCTAAGTGTCCGCATCAGCCGTCCCCGGGGCCTTTGGCACATCGCCATGGAAACAGTCCGCAGCAGTAACAGCATGGGACCACCGGGGGGCCCCCAAGGTCCAGAACACCCCTGCCTCCTTCGCCTCCTCCTCTCTCGAGTCCACCCTGCAGAGTCCTCCTCACAGGGTGGCCAGGATCCGGGAGAAGGAGATGAGGAGGAGGAGGCTGGTCTGACCCACACCCAGAGCCAGAGCCTCCAGAGGACCCATGCCCTTCCCGGCCACGCGGTACACCCCCGCCACTGCCGCACCTGCAGCCAAACACAGACAGCCAATCAGCACTCAGGCTGAAGGACACCAGCAGCACCTGGACATGAGACACAGAGGGACATGGAGGGACGGGATGGGGTGGGACCAGGGGAGGAGACAGGACGAGAGGAGACAGAAGCAGAGAAGGGAGGGAGGGGAGGAGACAGGTGGACGTCCCCCTTTGGCCCGTTACCGGGACAGGTGGACGTCCCCCTTTGGCCCGTTACCGGGACAGGTGGACGTCCCCCTTTGGCCCGTTACCGGGACAGGTGGACGTCCCCCTTTGGCCCGTTACCGGGACAGGTGGACGTCCCCCTTTGGCCCGTTACCGGGACAGGTGGACGTCCCCCTTTGGCCCGTTACCGGGACAGGTGGGCGTCCCCCCTTTGGCCCGTTACCGGGACAGGTGGACGTCCCCCTTTGGCCCGTTACCGGGACAGGTGGACGTCCCCCTTTGGCCCGTTACCGGGACAGGTGGACGTCCCCCCTTTGGCCCGTTACCGGGACAGGTGGACGTCCCCCTTTGGCCCGTTACCGGGACAGGTGGACGTCCCCCTTTGGCCCGTTACCGGGACAGGTGGGCGTCCCCCTTTGGCCCGTTACCGGGACAGGTGGACGTCCCCCTTGGCCCGTTACCGGGACAGGTGGACGTCCCCCCTTTGGCCCGTTACCGGGACAGGTGGACGTCCCCCTTTGGCCCGTTACCGGGACAGGTGGACGTCCCCCCTTTGGCCCGTTACCGGGACAGGTGGACGTCCCCCTTTGGCCCGTTACCGGGACAGGTGGACGTCCCCCCTTTGGCCCGTTACCGGGACAGGTGGACGTCCCCCCTTTGGCCCGTTACCGGGACAGGTGGACGTCCCCCTTTGGCCCGTTACCGGGACAGGTGGACGTCCCCCCTTTGGCCCGTTACCGGGACAGGTGGACGTCCCCCTTTGGCCCGTTACCGGGACAGGTGGACGTCCCCCTTTGGCCCGTTACCGGGACAGGTGGACGTCCCCCTTTGGCCCGTTACCGGGACAGGTGGACGTCCCCCTTTGGCCCGTTACCGGGACAGGTGGACGTCCCCCTTTGGCCCGTTACCGGGACAGGTGGACGTCCCCCTTTGGCCCGTTACCGGGACAGGTGGACGTCCCCCCTTTGGCCCGTTACCGGGACAGGTGGGCGTCCCCCCTTTGGCCCGTTACCGGGACAGGTGGACGTCCCCCTTTGGCCCGTTACCGGGACAGGTGGACGTCCCCCTTTGGCCCGTTACCGGGACAGGTGGACGTCCCCCCTTTGGCCCGTTACCGGGACAGGTGGACGTCCCCCTTTGGCCCGTTACCGGGACAGGTGGACGTCCCCCTTTGGCCCGTTACCGGGACAGGTGGGCGTCCCCCTTTGGCCCGTTACCGGGACAGGTGGACGTCCCCCTTGGCCCGTTACCGGGACAGGTGGACGTCCCCCCTTTGGCCCGTTACCGGGACAGGTGGACGTCCCCCTTTGGCCCGTTACCGGGACAGGTGGACGTCCCCCCTTTGGCCCGTTACCGGGACAGGTGGACGTCCCCCTTTGGCCCGTTACCGGGACAGGTGGACGTCCCCCCTTTGGCCCGTTACCGGGACAGGTGGACGTCCCCCTTTGGCCCGTTACCGGGACAGGTGGACGTCCCCCCTTTGGCCCGTTACCGGGACAGGTGGACGTCCCCCTTTGGCCCGTTACCGGGACAGGTGGACGTCCCCCCTTTGGCCCGTTACCGGGACAGGTGGACGTCCCCCCTTTGGCCCGTTACCGGGACAGGTGGACGTCCCCCTTTGGCCCGTTACCGGGACAGGTGGACGTCCCCCCTTTGGCCCGTTACCGGGACAGGTGGACGTCCCCCTTTGGCCCGTTACCGGGACAGGTGGACGTCCCCCTTTGGCCCGTTACCGGGACAGGTGGACGTCCCCCCTTTGGCCCGTTACCGGGACAGGTGGACGTCCCCCTTTGGCCCGTTACCGGGACAGGTGGACGTCCCCCCTTTGGCCCGTTACCGGGACAGGTGGACGTCCCCCTTTGGCCCGTTACCGGGACAGGTGGACGTCCCCCTTGGCCCGTTACCGGGACAGGTGGACGTCCCCTTTGGCCCGTTTCCGGGACAGGTGGACGTCCCCCTTTGGCCCGTTACCGGGACAGGTGGACGTCCCCTTTGGCCCGTTTCCGGGACAGGTGGACGTCCCCCTTTGGCCCGTTACCGGGACAGGTGGGCTTACTGGTGACGACGGCTCCAGAGAGGGAGGCCAGGAATCCGGTGCTGACCAGAACCAGCGTGATGAGACGTCCCCACTTGTGTCGCTGCAGCACGATGAGCATCAGCAGTCCGGCGGCGCCGTGGACGACCAGCGAGGAGAAGAGACACCACAGGAACACCCAGTACCACATCTCTGAGCGGGACAACAAGCAGAACCAACAGGACCATCAGTTACAGGAAAAGGGGGACCAGTTTGGGATTGTGCAGCATCCGTCCTGGTTAAAAATAATCCGGCTTTAGGAACCGAGCTGCGTTAATCCCACTACCTCAAGAAAAACAAACATCAGAGAAGTTTTGGAGCTTTTCCTAAAATCCTGAAAAGGTTTTCATCTGTAAAAATTCCACCTGAATAGCTGACTTGATCCCGTTTTCCCAGCAACAATCCGATTGTTAAACCGATGGTACCGGGAGAACCACGCGGGTCCAGCTGGAGCAGTGAACCAGCAGCTTTCACCAGATCATCCCAAAAGTCTCCATCTTGGTACTGATCCGACCACCATGATGCCCATCTGTGTTTCACGAGTGTCCAACGTCTCCTCCACCTGGACAGCTGGACGAGATGTCTGAAGGACGGAGACGGGTCGGGAAGGAAGACCTGACAAACATGGAGGCTAACCAGGAGCAGCAGGAAGATCAGAAGGCCAGAACCTCTGATCCGGCGACGACTCAAAGAGAAAAATCCTGTTAGAAAGGCTCGTCGTGGAGATTTGGTTTCAAACAGAACAGAGTTTTCTCTTGTTTCTGAACCGAAGGGAGCCGGACGCTCGGCTGCCTCGGCTCAGCGTGGAGAGTGGCTAGTTTAGGGTTGAGGTCATGTGATCCAGCCAGTGTGTGTTGGGTTAGTGAAGGCGGCACCAGCTCCAGCCTGTCTGGACATCCAGTCCCCGGGTTTCCAGATCAGAGAAGCAACGCCTCCATCTTCGTGCCTGACGGCGTTTCTGCAGCACAGACTTCTGTAGCCCACATCGGTCGGTACCGGGTCAGGGAGGTTTGCGCTGGAGACCCGTGGCGGGGTTTAAAAACGTATATGTGGATTTCTGGAGCTCAGATCACCGTCAGAACCAGGCCAGAACCAGGTCAGAACCAGGCCAGAACGACCACCAGGAGAGAGGCGCAGCTCAGCAGGCCAGTCCAGCTGGTTTCTGGGTCGGAACCGGATCAGAACCACCGCGGACCTCCAGGAGATGATCATGCACAGCTTTTACTCCAGAACCGGGCGACAGGCGTGTCTCTCTAAGCTAAACTAGGTCAGGTGAACGGATATTAACGAGTAACTGAGCGATACTACTTTAACTGTCTGGTACACGATAGTAATCTGTGACGCTAGCACGAGTTTAAGCTAGCATGGTTAACTCAAGCTGCCCCCCCGCTGCTTCTCCTCTATCTGCTTTGGCCGATGGTTCCTCCCTCTGGTTGGTCTCTGCTCTCTGGGGCGAGCAGCAACTCATACCTTTGTGGTTCTGGTCCACCAGAAGCAGAATTATAAACGTTTAAAGGTTCCTCTGTGTCAGAGCCGCAGTAGAGTCCAGATTTTCTCTGGATTAAGCTAGCAGGACTCCCTCAGCTGTTGGTAAAAAAAAAAAAAATTCTCCTAAAATGACTCTAAAAGCCTGAATAATTTATGTTTGTGTAACAAAACGTTTTAAACGAGTTTCTTTATGTTTCTCTGAACATCGGTTCATGGGAGGCGACGCTGACCCGATGTGAAGAACTGGACCACAGCTGGTCGGGGTGTTCTGGATCTTCAGATGAAGCAGAACCAGAATCTTAGTCTTTGGTAAAAGTGCATCAGGTCCTTTCTCTCTGGTTCCACTCGGTAAACCCGTTTAAACTCAGGCACCAGAATACTCGGGGAGAACCCAGAAGAACCCAGCTGGATGTCTGGGCCTAAAAACGCTGACTCTGCCCTCAGCCAGCATCATAAACCTTCAGGGTTCCTCGTCTCTGGAGGCAACAGGTGACTTCATTCAGCTGCTTCAGTAACCTTCAGAACAGACCTGAAGATCGGAACCAGCAGTCTCCTGCAGAGGAGATCCTGGTCTCAGAGAGGCGTTCCTTCCTTCATGAGATCTTTAACACGAGCTCTGATGGAGCACCACCTCCTACATCACAGCTGTCCATCACCTGTCCTCCAGATCCATGATCCAGCAGGGGTTAGATGTTCCAGTGATAGCCCTCACCCACAGTTTCAGTCACATTTGTTTGATGCCGTTGCCATGACAACCACCACGACTCTACCAGCTGGATCCAGAAGTATCTAGCTGGAACACCTGTAGGTGGACCAGGAGGTTCTGGAGCATCAGCTGATACCTGTGGAGGTCTTTAGAGCTTTAAAATGGACGCGCTGACGTCACACCCTGCACGGTGCCGCTGATGGAGGCAACACCACCGGTTACCTCCTCTCAGCAGCACGCCTTGGTGGCGCTTACCTGGGAACTGCTGCAGGCTCGAACCTTGGACCCAGAGGCTCAGAACCTGCTGGACCGACAGATTAACGCTCATGCTTCCGCCGCCCGGGCTCGCTCCCCTCCGCGTGGAATAGCTGAACCTGGCTTTAGACAGAGGCATGGGGGAGACCGGGAGGGGGTGGTGGTGGCGAGGCGGCTCACCCCGGCGCGGCTCGCCTCTACCGGTGCCGCTGCTTCGGCTTCACGTCCGTCTCCGCTGCGGGAAGGGAAGGGCCGCTCGCTGGTCGCTTCGTCCTCGCTGGGGTCGGCTGTGTGGAGGCCATGATGGAGATGGCAGCGGCAGCGGAGGCTGGCACCCGGACGCTCGGCTGGTCCCGCTGCATCAGCCTTAAAGGGCCAGCAGCTCCCCTGACGGGAGGGGAGGGGCTACGGTTTACGGTAAAACGGCTCCGGTGCCTTAAGCCGCTCTCTGAATGGGAGCCCAGACGCTGAACGTAGCGACGGATTTGCGTACAATCAAAGTTCTGCTGCTGCGTCATCACGACTCAGCTCGCGAGCGTTGACAACAGGAAGCAGTTTACGCTAGCAACAACCTCCCGCTTAGATGAATCGACTAAACATCTTTTCTATGAATGTGATCAAATTTTAATGATGTGGAAATCACTCCACGATTGGCTGAACTCCAATCAAATTTATATAAACAATTTCACAGTTGAAGATATCTTATTTGGCATTATACTAAAAGATAAATATAATGAATTTCTAATTAATAATCTCATAATCTTAACAAAATTTTTCATACACAAATGCCGATATCTCAAAAATCCACCTACGTGGAATAATCTCAAAAATGAAATTAAACTGCTATTGAGATCCTTAGGTAAAATGTCCACCCCCAATGCTATAAAGCTTTATGATTTCATTATGAACACTAATCTCTAACTGCTTTTTGGATGGTATACACAATAGACCTTGTTTGCTCTTTAACTTCCCCCTTGTAAAACTTTATTTATATACACATAATTTGTTTTTTCATGCTGTCTTATTTGTATCCTTTCATGTTCTATTTTTGTTTTTGTTTTTTGTTGTTGTTTTTATTGTCTTCTTACTATACCAAGTTGAATTGTATCTACAAAATGCAAGTTGAGATGAACACGAACTTTGGAGCTACTCTGTAATGTCATTCTGCTAACAATTTTTGAAATATAGTCGTTTTTGTTCGTTTTACAAAGGTTCAATAAAAGTTCTTAAAAAAAAACTCCCGCTTATGTGGTTGCCTAGCAACGGAAAAGACTACATTCACCCGGGCTGATGGGGATGGTGCTGATATGTGAGCTACTTCCGGACTCTCATGGTAACAGCGCCGCCATGTTGGGTGGGTTGAATGAGAAAGGTGGAAATATTGAAAACAGATTAGCATGTTTTATTTTTACAGGCTTTCTATAAAACAAGACTTAATCTTTACACTTTATTCTATATTTTTCGTTTCAAAATTCTATTTTATTTCAGCAGTTTTTCAGACATTTAAAATAAAAGTATTAAAGTATTAAAAAAGTATTTCTGCAAGTTTCTGTTATTTATGTCATTATGACATTATTACTGAAATCTAATCCTCCACAATAAAATATCTTCAGCCATTCCAAACTGATTTTAATGTAACTTATTTTTACATTAGCGAACTGTGAAGAAATGAAAAGGAAATATCAGTGAACTAAATGTTTTAATGTATTCAGCATCCATATTTTACAGTTAAAACGGGATGCTGAAGACTGAAGGGGTTTTCTTTAATGTAAGGTTTCTTAATATAGCTGTGGGAATAAATTGCGTAATATAGGCTACATAAACTAATGCTATAAAATTTTAATTTAATCTGAAAATTGGGTAATAAGGTTATTTAGCCTAGCCAAAACAAGGTTTTGCAATCACAACATAACTAATGAGCAAACTTACAAGTTTCAAACTAAACTAGCCACGATTAGAGACCTGGTGTGGAAAACACGGATGAGAAACACGAACGTGAAAACTGAGATGATTAGATTAAAAACCTTTTAGGGATGTTATAACTATAAAGAAACCACGTAAACATCTACAGCTTAGTGGAAATCCTCCTGATTCATAAATGTGGAGAAAAAACTCCATAAAAATTGTATTTTTCATTGTCGTGCTAAAAAGTTTAAATCTGGCAGCACATACATTTAAGGACTTCTAGGTTGTTTTAACTTTATGAATGTAAAAGTTCAAGAAATTAGAGCAAGTAAAGACTACTCTTGTTTTCTTTATATCAGTGGAATCAGATTTTTATACGAAATAAAACAGAAAACAATCCAACCTGCTGAATGTATGTTGTTACACAAGCTGAGTCACAACAACAAATAACAACACGCGTCGCGGCTCGGTGCTCCTCTTCCGCTCAACGTCCTGGCGCATTTCCCTGAGGAGAGCGGTATTTTAAGAGAAGCTGTCCCAGTTCAGAGGAAACGTTTAAATCTGTGGAGGTTTCTCTGAATCTGGAGGAAACTCTGCTGGATGAGAGAAAGTTACAATCTGGATTATTCTACATCCTGCCAGACCTAATGAAGATGTCTGCAGCCGATGTTCCAGCCGAGTAGGCATGGGATCAGCGGTGCCGGGGCGAAAAGGGTCGTTCAGGTGAAAACTGAAGCACGCAGGTGGGGGATGAGACAAAAAACACGATCAGCAGCTTCTCATTTTTATCTCTGAGGCATCTTTCCTGATTGCCTGACAGCGAATATCCAAACACCACCTGGGAGCAAACGTTCCGTTTTATCCTCCAGAGAGAACGTTTGAGTGTCTTTAACATAAACTCTGCTGAGAACGAAGTCAGAAACACGATTAATGAGCCTGAAGATCCAAATGCTGAATCTGAGATCAGGGCGACGGTTCCTGCTCTCGGCCAGCAGGTGGATTCCTTCTCCCTCTTTTCCAAAGGTTGGAATTTTCCATGCTGGAGCTGGACTTGGTGTTCCAACAACATGTTTACCTTCTGCAGCGTAAAACCAGAGGAGTGTAAACCTGAGGAGGCGGCTGTCTGAAGCAGAGCAGCTGTGGATCCTTTTGACGACGGCTTTTGTCTCGTTTGGGGATTTCAGGGGCAACCTGAGACTCCTCTGTAGCCCGTCCAGCTTCATTCACTCAGCCTCGGGTTCTGTATGGACCTGCAGGATGTTGGAACAGTGTTCCAAAGTATTTTCTTTTATAATCTCGTGTATCCCGAGCCTATTGTACTCATGTGGAGGTGAAACTCAATCCACAGGGTGACATGTCTCCTCTTTGAACCTTTTCATCGAGGAGGCCAGTGTCTTTCTGTCTCCTTGTGTCTCTGACCCCCCAGGCAGGTGACCTGGTCTCAGGTGAGTCACCAGGAAAAGCCCCTCCTCCGGTTAACCGGAACAAACTGGCCTCAGAAGGCCCGTCGTACACCTGCCTCCCTGTTGGACTCAAGCCCAGCTGACTGTCTCTTTACCATCGCTATATAATCACACCTTCAGTGTTTGTGAACGCCGGTCACATGACCCACTCATCAGTGTTTACGTTATAGAACTATAGGTGTGAAGCCCTGGGGGGCGTGTGGCAACTTTCCAACCAATAAAATTCTATCTTCAGAAGAAATCACTCATTATTTCTAATTTCACCTTTCTCTCTTTAAGAAGCTGATTGGCTGAACGAGTGAACCACTTTAGGCTGCGGCGGTCCGTTATTCCAGAAAAGGATCATCGTATCAAACGCATACGTGGGCTAAGGTTAGGGCTGTTCTGACCTCAGACTGGAACGCTGATCCAAGGTTCTCTATGCAGCGGGTTCTGGACCCTCCTGCTTTAGAGAGCAGTGCTGGTGTTAGAGCGGGCCAGCACCAGAACATGCAACCGTTGTGGTAAAGAGCCCACAACAGCCTCCACGGGCTTCATCATCACAACCACGCGTCCACCCTGCAGCCCCTGTGAGCTCCAGCAGCTCCAGCTGGTTGTGTTTTTTGTGCAGAGCCTCCATCTCATCTCCAGATTTTTGATGCTTCTGCTGACTTTCTACTTCTGGACCTTTTCCAGGTTTAGCTGTGCTCCCTCCGGACCGCTGAACACTTTCCATTCCTCGCCTGGTTTTGGCTCATGGTAGTTTTTGAGCTCCGCTCTCCCTTTTAAACCGTGAAGGACGTCTTTTTCTGCCTCTGGTTCGTGAAAACTGATCAAGTCACGCAGAGTGCCATCCTTACACAGATAACTCCTAAACCTTCATTCATCTCACCATTAATGCGTCTGAAGGGCTGCGGGTCGAGAGGTTAGCATGAACGACGTTTTGAAGCAGTGGACAGCCGGACTTTTGGGGATTATTCCATGTTGGTCCTTGGACCTGTCTGCCCAGAGGCCTTGTGCTGCACGCCTTAGTGCACGTTGCACCAAACATGAAACTGCTGATGGTACAGACACCTCAATGACCTTAAAGGTGGAGCAGGAGAAAAACTCCAAATACTGATGCAATCAACAAATTAAAGGCCAAGTTCACTGAAACACGTTTTACTTGTTCTTGTGGGCGACGGAGGCACAGGAGTTAAGCGCTCGCCCCGTAGTCGGAAGGTTGCAGGTTCAAGCCCCGCTCAGTCTGTCGCTGTGTCCTTGGGCAAGACACTTAACCCACGTTGTCAGAGGGACCGGTGGCGCCTCTGTCAGTGCGCCCCAGGGCAGCTGTGGCTACATCTTAGCTCATCCCCACCAGCGTGTGAATGTGTGTGTGAATGACTGATTGTGTTGTAAAGTGCCTTGGGGGGTTCCAGGACTCTAGAGGGCGCTATATCAAATACAGGCCATTTACCATTTTTGAAATATAATCAGTAACTCTGAGTTTAGCATGCAGGCTAAATGTGAAAAAAACCTCTTGGATAGAAAATCCTGACAGATCTACGTCACACTGCCACTAACATTCATGGACTCACCCATCTGGACTCACGACGGGGAAGGCTGTTGTTGGTTTAGTCCAGGAAACATCAGAGAACGTCTCTGCTAGTGGAAGCTAACCGTTAGCATTAGCAACTCCACCACACGGCAGAACTCCTCCACACTTGTGTTATTTGTGGAGATAAAACATCAACGTTGCAGGGCAAACAATAAGTGGTAGAGTTGTGTTTCTGATAGCCAATCAGAAGAGAGATGTCCACATATCAGGAAGTAAGACCACAGATCCTCTCGTCTGAAGCTCAGCTCTGACGTGGCTACCTCCTAGTCCCTGGAACGGGAGCGCCATAGCTTTGGATCAACTCATAAGTTATTTGCTTTTACTAGAGACCGCTGCAGAAGTGTCAAAAAAACTGGAGAACTTGGTTTTTAAATGTTTTATTTCTTTAGAAAAGTGACTAATGGCTTCTGAAAC